ACGATTTGCTAGTCTAGTGCCTGGTTGGGACAATCAGCTTTGTAAAGCAGGTTTTAAGATACGGGGGGAAAAATTAGTAGTAATATGTTTAGAAATAAAATGCTCTGTGTGTAGTAATAATTATTTCACTGTAGCAAAAGCTTTCTCTTCGAAATTAAAGTTAAACAAAGTTACTTGTGTAGTTAGGAAGGATGGCAAAGGCAGCACCGCCTCCTGAAACAATAGAGTCATCAGGCACGTTGCTGTCCCCGTCTAATTTGATGTGTCAGGTCCTAATCAGCTCCGTTTCACAGTGCTTTGCTCCATAAAAGCAGATTTGTTTAACCACAACCTCTATTTCAGCATGACTGGAGAAGGAAGAATAACGGAGGAGACCAGGCATATCTCACGTGTTGTGTTGTGGGTATAAAGTGAATCCATCATTTGCTGGAGAGGCAGAGGAAAAGTGACAGGCTCATTCATGCCTTCGAGACATTTTTGGGTCTATTGAAAATGTTAATCTGTGCACTCTGGTTGAACCTCCGCACTCCTTAATTTAGTACACACAGCCATGTGCTGGGTCTGTCTGCCTTAGATAGGGCCGGCTGGCTTCTGTAGGACAGCAACCCCCCCGAGGAGTTTTCTTCCCTAAATTCATCCTGCCTTGAACTTTACACACACATATAAGCTCCATTTACAGGAGGATTTCAGAGTTAATTAAACGCTGAATTTGTTTCTTTAGAAATCGCATTTGCCTTGGGGTTAAGGAATAACATTTCAGCAACCACGTTAATTTAGGATTAAGCATACTGTACATTTTCTGAAGAAATTTTATTTTTGTAAGTATACATTTAGAGAGATGGGGAAATTTTCCCCCTCTGTTACCATAAAAGATTTTAAAAATAGGTTTAAAAAGGAGACCATATGCCAGGAGATACTGCAAATCAGCAAATTCAAAAACCATCCTTTACGTAAAATGCATTGGAAACAGACAAATAAACTAGAATGCTGGAAAAATTGTTGCATTGCTGATAAGGCCATGGAACGACCTTCCACCGGAGGCTCCCAGCTTTAAGTCCTTTTCACTCTGGATTTGCTCTGTGCACACCACGGTCATAATCTCAGAAGCATAGTATTTACAAACATTTGGGTCAAAGATGACAGGTCAGAATTTTATTATCAAACTAGCAGGTCAATGCTGACATATATTCGTTTTAGTTCCACTAAAGATACTACATATAACAGCAGACACCTTTGTTCTTAATTTTCCTAAAGGTGGGTCTTTGGCAGAAGATAAAGCCTGAGCAAATAGAGAACAGAACAAGCCAGGAACTTAGTATTGTCCTCGGTGGATTGAGTTTGAAACACGATGCTATAAAAACGTTGCAAGTAATTCAGTACCTTGAGTTCATTTTCATTGATATCTTTGCACATCATGTACAAGAAAGTTGTATTTTGGCAAAATGATCAGTATCTTAGGTCATCGATTTACAAAATGCCAGAGGATATTCTTTGAATTCAAATTAAGAAAGACACAGGACACGGGAAAAAAAAAGTGTATTTAAAGATCTCAGACAACCTCGACCTTTTTGTTTATATGTTTAGTTTAAATTATTAATGACATGTATGTATTCACTTCCACATGGAATGTTTCTTTCCTTTCCTGTTCTTTTTCTCTGTCTGTAAAGTTTGAAATAAATCAGTAAAGTTTGAAATAAAAATAATTGTTACAGTTTCTAGGTAGAGAGACAATTAGGTAGCATTTGGCATTTTCTGTAGGTCAGATGAGCGTATGGATTCTTGGAGGTAAAAAGTTCAATTCATGAAGAAGAACAGAGACAACCGAAGGCTACAATGACTACAGTAAAATAAAACAGCCCTAAAGCCCAGCCGAGTAAGCCCCCATCCATAAATCTTATTCATCAGGGCTACTTCCAAATACAATGAGCAAAGGAGAAAATTATGCCCTATTTCAGACTTGCCCAGTCTCTTTATCACTTAGAAGAAAGAGAAAAAAAAAAAGAAATTATTAGGACCATGTATGATAGATAATCAAATCAAGGAACAATGCAACTATTGTCATATGTAGGATATAAACTATGCATAGTATTTTGAAGAGGCATAAAAAGCCTATATTGATATGTCACATTTTTCCATTTACATATGTGCAGAATTTCTATTGGTTGTGTGAGGTTGTGTGAAATGATCTCGTTTTTAGGGAGACATAGCTGTATGTCATTTATAGCTGTGATTTATATTGCTTGACCTATTGAGGTAAAAATAGTGGTTGTTCTCAAAGTATCCCCTGTCTGAATGCCTTGTGCAGAGTGTTCATTCTGGAACACTTGCTGTTTCAGTTCTGATTCATTTTGAGAAGAATTCCTTTTCCGGACTTCTATAAACAGACATTGGGAAAGGAAATTAAATAAAGCAAACTAAGATGATCTAATTGCGAGCGAGTCAAAGCCTCATAAAGCATTATAATTTGGATATTTTATCTTAATGGCTGAGAGGAAGCTGCTATTAAACCACTGGCCTTAAGCAAAGCAACACATATGTAATAATGCAAACGAAGAGAACCGAATTGGCCCATTATTTGACAAAAGTTAATTATTTTAATGAATATTGTTTGGCAACTACAAAACAACATAATTTTATAATACTTCAAACTTATAAATGTAGTGAAATGATTTTTTAATGATGTCTAATTTTTTTTTAATTATAAAGCAACTTAAAAGTTTTATAAAACTTCAAAACTATATGTATAGAAGGAAAAAAAAAATAATCCTACCTCACGAGGCTTACAGATCCTGACATCGTGGGTGATAGCATCTTTCCTGATCTATTTGCTGTCATTCAGTGATAACAGACATAGACATTGTTAAATAGATATGGATAGATATGAAAGTGAAGCTTTTCTGTTTATTTGCATGGGTCTGTTTTTATATTTTCATGAAATATATATCTCAAATATTTATCAGGTCAGCAAGTTTCTTTGGAAAAAGGAATTTTGCTTTTTCTTCATTTTAGGATTCTTCATTTTATACATCTAGCACAATTTAGTCAATCTGATTTTGTTGAATATTAGGTTATTTCCTTTATTCACATATTGAAAGCAACCTTATGTTGTTTATTTTTCTTCAAAAAATAGCAGACCCATGATAATTTTCTTAAACTGCACATTTTATGGTATCTAGCACACATTTTCTTCAGTTTCCAAAATTATAAGAGAAACAGTTTTCATAGTTTTAAATTGCATTTGCCAACACTTGCAAGAATAACTTTTATAAATAAATTCAGATATGGGAATTTTTATTTTATGTAATTATCTACTTATATTTTTTCTTAGTGATGTTAAGATCTTTTATATAATCATTCATATATTGCTATTGTTTTGCTTTATAAACTTTTTGGGAGCCTAAAAGGTTTGTTTGCCTGTTTTTGCATACATGTATTTCAAACGTATGAAATTAAGTGTAGTTTAAAAAAGTAATTTGCCCTCTTGTACAAGGGTTTACCAAAGCTTCCCTTCAAATCATGGAAATAGCCAACTCATTTATTTAATTATTCTTTTGGTTTGATTTGCTGTGTTTTTAACATTAGCTCATATAAACTAGGTATAATACATTTGGACATAGGGTAAGAGAGAAGAAATTTTATTAGTAAAAGGTTACTCCAGAACTACTTACAAAATAATGTATCTTTTAAATTTTTTTCATGATGGCATTTTTTGGCATATACTAAAATCTCTACATTAATATCTACATTTGCAGTTTTTGTTTTATTAAGTTATTTCTTTTGTTTTCTATTTGGTAGTACAACATTGAAATCATTACTGCTCTTTAAAATGTACATTAATGTTTAGTAGAGCAAGTCCTCTCATTATTATTACTTCTAAAACTCTTGACACATTTTCTTTCATTAATATCTTTAAAACTATTTTGTCACACTCTTGCTAATCAGGAAAAATAACTAATAGATACTAGGCTTAATGCTTTGGTGATGAAGTAATTTGTACAACAAACCCCTATGACGCACAGTTAGCTATGTAACAAGCTTGCACATCCTGCACATGTACCCCCAAAGTTGAAATAAAAGTTTAAAAAATCCCCCAAATATTATTGTATCATACACATTTGTGTTTCACTTAGGAATATGTTTCAATTTTACAACTTTTTTTATACAATACAATTTTATAAAACCTCTCCATATGTACCAAGTTAATTTTTAGATGATATACATATTTATGGTAGATGTGAGTGAAAACTTTGTACTTGTATGCTTCTTAGTTATTACTGCTAGTTTTTGAAAAATCTGGAGTATATTTCTATTAGTCTTAATACATAGTAATTTGATTCCCTTGGCTTATTTATATAGTAAATAACATTTGCAAAGTTAATTTTTAATAAAATGTTGAAATGTTTCCATGGTCTGTAATTTTAGCTAAAAAATAACTACAATGAAAACAGTAACCCATATGTCCCAAGCACTCTTCTAAGAGCCAGAAAGAGTTCTAAAATACCACCTCTGCACTTACAAAGTTTACAATCTTACTTTATACCATATTTATTTCTATTTTGATAGTTCTGATTTATTCTTTTATTCTTTAATATATTGTTTTATATTACTTTTCAAAGGATGAGCTTTAATATTTATAATTTTTTTTATTTTCTGTTATCTATATCATTAATATATGCATTTGTTTTCTTTCTTATTTTCATCTTATTGGGGCTACTTTTAGTCTAACGTATTGGCTTGAGTGCCTGCTTTAAAAAAAAAAAATCATTTAAATTGGTCTGACCATAATTAGACTAAAGTTGATTGAGGTGGCATCTAGAGGGTGTTAAATTTTATGCTTGGTGTCTTTTTTTTTTTTTTTTTCATATCCAGACCCTATCTATAGATACAGGTAGATATGGACATAGGTGATGATAGAGATGTAGAACAGATAAATCAGAACTCTGAGAGATGAGAAACTTCAGCCTCCATAAAAGAATAAACAAGGGAAGAAAGTAGACTTATTCTGTTTTGAGGTCTTTCTTTGAACATTACAAATAATTTAGCTCCTTCTAGTGCCTCCTTTTCTTTATTTAGGGGTCCCTGAGTTCCGGGTCGAGTTGTTAAAATGAGCAGGTTATGAGATGTTGAGTGAGGAGCCCACACGCCTGTCCTCCTGGGGTCCCGCACTGTCATCTGAGCAGGAGCAGGTGTCTGTCACGCCTGCTACTCTTGGGTTTCAGAATCCTGGTAGAGGAGCGCGTTACTTTAAGCAGCAGACACGTGAGTCTCCAGATGCAGCCAAACATGAAATCGGCCCGGGTGGATAACCTTGAGCAGCGACAAAAGAATCATCTCCTTCCAAGCTGGGCTAGGAATTTGTATTCGTGCATTATGCCGAGTTCGAAGGAGGCAAGTATGGTTGCTTAAAAGTTATGGGAAACAAACAAATAGAAAGGAAAGAAATCCAAATCTTTCCAGCTGTAGACAAATGCTCTATTTCTGGATGCCAGGTTTGATTTATTTAAACACATTTCAATGAACTGAAGGTTGGAGTTGAGAGTGTGTCGTGACACATTCCTGTCTTACCAGAATAGGGGGGAGGATATTGCTGATCCGGGAGCTAAAGTACCTTTTCCACACACGCAGTCGGCCTTTGGCACTTTTGTTACACGCACGTTGCCTGCCAGCTCCTCCACCCTCCGCTGGGTGAGGCTCCGCTGCTGCCTTGAGTGGGGACCTGCATTCATGGGGGTGTAAGGTTTTTACTCAGGGAAGGAGACAACCCCATCTAGTGAAGCTAAAATTGAAATCTGACCATGAGGGAGGTGTTGTGTTGGTCTTGCCATTACTATCTACGTGTTCATATCATATGTTAAATTTTATGTATTTCCTCTTCCACTTCTCAGATATACTTTATATCAGTGCTTTCCTCCGATGCATTAAGATTTTATTGCAATTTTCAAATTATTTTTTAAAAATTGGAAATCTCCAGAGAGAAATGTTTTGTACCACTAGTTTGTTCTTACTACCAGATGAGTTTGATGGGGGCTGGGGGAGAGATGTTTCTGTAGATGTGAAGTTAGAACGTATTCTTGAAAGTTTAGATTCTCATCTAAACTGATTCATATAAACAAATAGTCTAACGAAGAAAATGGGAATTCACTTAAATATTTTTATTTTGGTGTTACCAACAATTATTTCATAATTTGTAAGAATGTGTGTGTGTTTGTATCTCTTGGGGGTGTGTGTGTGTGTGTATGTGTGTGTGTGTGTGTATGTTTGGTGTATTATTAGTGATATTTCTTAACTATTTTAGATGTTTGTACATTAATTTGACTTACCAAATTCTGGAAGCCATATTCATATAGTTCTTATTTAAATCTAGACACATAAAGTCGTTTTTATTAATTTTCTCATGTCACAGTTTTCCACACTCACTCATTATATCTAAAACCCAGTAGCTTCTAGAGGTAAATTGCTTTTTAGGAAAATATTAGCTAAACATCTATAGTCTATTTTAGTTCAAAAATCTTTTGAGCTGGAAATGTGCATGTGCCCGGGACAAATGAAATTAAAATTAAATTCTCTGTCAAGGAAAATATAAAATTTGAAATCACAAATGACTCATTCCTAATGGCTATTTTGCATCACTATTATCAATGATGTTTTAGAAGGTTTACATACATTCAAAATGTTAGTATCTTTTGATATTAACAAATGAAGGGAACACTTTGGACAATCAGGTGTTGGGTATTTTTTACATTCATTAAATATGTGATTGAAATTTATTTAATAAGCATTCCTGAATGACTAAAATAATTTAAATGCTGCTACTTTTAGAAAGGTAGAAGGCATGCTGCAGAGGGCTCGGGGTCATGAGTCTACAGTATCGGTCACACAAACTAGTTATTCCACTAATTGGTTATGTTACCTTATAAAATCCTTAATAGGGCTAAGCTATATTAGGGTCAGTTTCCACATGCATAGGTTTTGGTGTTTAGAATGATCTATTTAAAATTCATTTCAAAAGTTGTATTGCTGTAATAAATGACAGTTGTTATTGCTAATTCTTCTATTATTATTAATACTGTCAACACATTCATGCTAAAACAGTTGAGAAGTACACCTGGCAGGCAACGTGCAAGTAACTCTGTTGGATCAGAAAAGGATACATTCAGGCAAACATTGTGTTTAAACCTGGTGTGGCCTGGTGCTAAGCGTGAGACAGGAGATTTCAATAAACAGCTTCTTCCACTCTTTTCCTGAGGATTCTATAAACAAGTCGCAGAGAGAAGATGTATTCACCATAGATTTTAAAATGCGCATTAACAAGGATAGACAAGATAACTGAAAAGCAGTCAAAATGTATGCATATGCAAAGGAGAAATGCAAAGCCACGTGATAGTTTTTAGTATTAAGAGTTTAAAGAGTCCATTCGGAAGAGATTAATGGTTCGCCATTACTGTGTCTCATTTGGCTCTGTGTTTTTGACTAAGTTTTTACTTTTAGAAAATGAAATGATATTTCTGAATTTCATCTTAAGAATATTCACAAAGGACACAGTCATTAATGAAAACAGGCAAGGCAATTCACAAAGGTAGACTCACCTCATACCCTCTGTCTGGTGCTAGGCGCCGAAAATGGCATTCTTCAGTTTCCCAAAATGAGAAAATCATCCTTTTATTAATTAATTTGTATCTCTATTTTTTTTTAATTCAGTAAACACAAAACTTGAAATACTTGTTAACACAAGTGACTTATGGAAATTCTTTGCACCATTTACATTTTAGTAACATTTATACAGAAATCCCCCCAAACGCCCTTGCTGTGTAATGCCAAGGTAGTTTCTAGCCTCTCCACTCACCTTAAAAATGAACATTTGTGGTAGCACCTCAGATAAATTGGCTTCTATTCCACAGCTCTGGCCTTGGGTTTTTCTCCTTTGTGTGTTCCTTGCCCCTCTGTTTGCTGCCCCTGAGAGTTTGCCCCTCTATGCTCTGTCAGTGCCCTTGAACTTGCTCCAGATCACCTGGTACAGTGGAGAAAGAAACAGGCCAGTAATCATTCTAATTTCAACTCTTACCCACCGGTGCCCTTTCTTCAGAGCCCCCAATCTCTGCCTCAAAGAGATGTCCCATTGTAAGTTTTACTTAGAGAATTGCTAACCCCACTAAGCCTATTAAAAATGGCTGGAAGATTTTGCATGCGATATTCTGTTGAAATAATATGAAAAGTTATGTTTTGTTTCTCAATTAGTCAAAGTAAAATTGTTTCCAGGAAAATGGTTTATTCTCCGTTTGATACCACCATGGCTATCACCAGGAATATGGCAGCACCTTTGTTCCAGAGAGGAGGACTCCTGTAAGGAAGAGGCAGAAGGGAAAGCTGGAGGCGCTGGTCAGAAGCCGCAGGAGGTGGTGACAGGGAAAAAGAGTCCATGACGAGCGAGGCACATGGAATAAGTGACAGTGGTGATTCAGACACCAGCTAAATCTGGTTTGTAAGGATTTTCTGATGAGAGTCTGTGACCCTTCAGCAACCTTCTAGGAAGACCATTTTCTGATCTTCAACCTTGGCATAGCCCGGAATTCTTGAGTCACTGACTCAGTCCACATTAGCTGCAGTGCCACTCTCTGCTAAAGACGTTCCTCCCCATCAGAATCAGGAAAAACAGGACGTAAGGCAGGGAACTACCTCTGTTTCTCTTGCTAGAGTGGGATGTGCTTATCTGTTTCTCTTGCTAGAGTGGGATGTGCTTATCTGTTTCTCTTGCTAGAGTGGGATGTGCTTTGGCCTCCCCACATGGAGAGAGAGCACCCCACTTGGAACGCGTAAAGATTTTTCCATGGAAACAATACTGACACAGGGAAAGGGGGTCCATACTCCATGGGTTTGGAAAGCTACTGTATGTTCAGTATGTATTAGGCTGGCTTTTATGGATTTGCCTCAGAAGCTAACCACATTTCCGACACTCCTTCTCTAGGAAAAGGCCAAGTTCAGGGCAATGAGTTAGTAAGTCAACTAGCGGAACATGGTGTATTTATATGGAACTGGAGAGAGTCTCTTCACTGTGTGTGTGTAGGGGAAGGCATGAGCCTCACCAACAGCATTCCTCAGCCGAACCTCGGAAGCCAGAATTCCAGCAGAGCTTCAGGATTATGATGTTGTCCTTCAGGAAAAAAAAAAACAAAAAACAAAAAAAAACCTCATTTTATTTTAGGTGTATTATGCTTCTATAGATAACAAGTTAAACTAAGTATTTTTTCTGTTTCACATACAAAACCTAACTGGTGGGTTTGCTTTTTGATGCTTCATTACTTGAGTCTAGCTAAGTGGATAAGGGCATGTAAAGTTCATTTCCAGCCCACAGTTCTTTAAGCATTTATTTCCTTGTCAGTGTTACTATGTCAGCAAGTATGTGTGGGTGGTAAGGAAGGCCCTGGGAATACTAACCATTTACCGATTAAATAGGAAGCTGCAAAAAATAGTGTAAATAAGGAAAGCAGCCATCAGCTAATCCCAACATTCTAGGTTAAGAAAACAAAGGTTTGTAAGTAAAAACATGACAGCATTGCATATATTTTTGACCAGATTTCTCACAACCTTGAGATAAACGTTGCCCACAGCGAGAGTTAATGGTAGTGAATGCCTTATCTTTTAATGTGCTTTAATCTGGTGTGTTGTCCTCAGTGAAAGGAATAAAAAGGCTAGGTTATCAAGAGAGGAAACACAGGCCCTTACGTCTAGCTGCCTTTTACATGAATAGTTGCAAGCGGCATCGTGAGTTCTGAGGAGTGCGTTGTTTGTTGTTTTTGGCATACAGAAGCGGGTCAACCAGTCTCCAAACAGGGATTCTTAAAAACCGGAGCAAGAGATGTATCCACTAAAGGGGAATGCGGATGTTTTTGCAAGTAGGTTCCTCCACTCCCTCCTGGTGTATCCCCCACAGCCCTGGTAACATTGTGACCTGTTTTCTAGTAAGCGTAACTTTAAAAGTAGACTATGATTTATAAAATCACCTCGCCAGGTGAAGGTTTAAGATGGTTGAAACAGGATCCTTTGATCTTAATGAAATCCTTAATGGTAAAGCCAGCTTAATGATGTGTTTCTGTTAGAGTGTTTTTCTGCATTCATTCATATTTTCTGAAAAAAGCAGAACAATATGGGAAGTATATTAATCATGTTACTGCTCTGGCTGGAGTAATTTATTAAACAGTATCATAGTTTCCTGGAAGATTTACTAAGCCTCTTCAATTACTTAACTCTTGTAGAATAATTTACATACTGGCAGAGCAGATTAAAAAATAAAACACATGAATGAAGTCATTAATTAAGCTATTTCAGAAGCACCTGGATGAAGATAATGTTTTCATCTCCTCAATTCATCATGAAATACTGTTTTCTATGTATCAACCTGTTTTTTAAAAAATGCGTCTACAAATTATTGTTTCACTAAATCTTTTGCATAATCAATACTCTTGATCAATGGCAAAGATTTATTAATTAATAAATTAATTTTAAGTAAGTAAATATTTTAACAAATTACTATGCTTGTTTGTGGTATCAGTGTTTAATTCCAATTTGCTGATAAGTCAGGCAGCAGTCAAAATTGTCTGCTTTTTTTAAATTAGTGGCTGCTACTCCCTTTTAGCATTTTGCCTCTTTCTCTGAATATTCTAAGCACAACTTGTATATACTGCCCACAGAGATACCCATAGATCAATCTCTCAAAAGTGCATTTGAACAAAGGGCTTAAAAACTCAGATAATGAAATTGCAGGCTTTCCTACTGATATAAAAGAGATATTCTTTTTGCTTAAACCTAATAGTCAATGGATTATGAAATTTCATACCATTAAATGTACCACCTGGAAAAAAAAGTTGATAATGTATGATGCATGCTCAGAAATAATTCTGTACAGCATATATATTGGTCAGAGTAGCTTTTGGAAACTTTGAAATGTATTGAATATATTCCAAGTGAGTTCTCTTGTTCTTTTTTTTTTCCTTCCCTACATGGCTTTCGGCTGATAAGCAACCAGTTTGTGCCTATCCCAGTTGCCAAATATAGCACAACTTGATCTCCTTCCATTCTTAGAAACAAAGAAGCCCTTTGTTTTTGCCTTTCAAGATGATAAAGGGAATTGTAGTCATTCCTCCAGTGGCTAATACCTGCCAGCAGATCCTGAACGATGCCGTTGATTTCTAGATGTATCCTGATTTCAAGGTTGGTAAGTTAGGAGAAAATGTGTTTCCTAGAATAGATAAAATACAGTATATGGTGGTAGATTCCATTCCTAAAACTGTCTAATTTGCCTACTGAAAAGAATGAACCGGCCAGCATTCCCATCCAAGTATAGTTATGAATCCTAAAACTATATATATATATTTGTGAAACATTCGCCAAGAGATGGGGAAGTGGAGGCATGGGTATGATATGGAAGCTATGTCTTTATTACTGATTTTCTTCTATTAAAATTTTCATTAATTAGGCCAGATGGGATGGCTCAAGTCTGTAATCCCAATATTTCAGCAGGCCAAAGCAGGAGGATCATGTGAGGCCAGGAACTCAAGACCAGCCTGAGCAACATAGTGAGACCCCTTCTCCATAAAAAATACAATAAAAAATTAGCTGCGTGCAGTAGTGTGAGCCTGTAGTCCCAGCTACTTGGGAGGCTAAGGAGGGAGGATCGCTCGAGCCCAGGAATTTGAGGCTGTAGTAAGATATGATTACACCACTTCATCTAGCTTGGGCAACAGAGCAGGACCCAGTCTCTTAAAAAAAATCAATAATTAGTTATTAATATATTTCATTTATTTCATTTTATATATTTGTAAATAAACAAATATATGTTCTCAGTTCAAACCAATTGATAAAGAAGACAAGCATATGTGAAATAAAATCAGAATCGTGCAAAACAATACATTAAAACTGCTTAAGTTCATACATTGTGACGTGCCAGTTTGAAATGTAATTTTTAAAGAACAGTTTGCAGCAAGTTTCTTCTTTATCTTCTTTCTTTCTTTTTTTTTTTTTTTTTTTTGTTTTTGACTGTTTCGCTCTTGTCACCCAGACTGGAGTGCAATGGTACAATCTCAGCTCACTGAAACCTCCGCCTTCCGGGTTCAAGTGATTCTCCTGCCTCAACCTCCTGAGTAGCTGGGACTACAGTCGGGTGTTACCACCCCAGGCTAATTTTTGTATTTTTAGTAGATTCGGGGTTTCACCATGTTGGCCAGGCGGATCTCAAACTCCCGACTTCAGGTAATCTGCCCTCCTCGGCCTCCCAAAGTGCTGGTATTACAGGGGTGAGCCATCGTGCCTGGCCTAAAATTTTGAACATGCTCTTAGCAAGGGACCAATGGTCCAACAAATAAACTGAAAAATGGAAAGTACTGGCGTGGCTATCTAAGGGTAGCTTTTCTTTTTACATTACATTTCATTCAAAACTATTAAAATAAGGACATATTTTATAAATTACTAAACATATGCATTTATGGAAACAGCCATATCCACCAAGACACCATATGAACAAATACATAGCCTTTTATACATTTGTTACATATAATATGTAACCCCTCTAGATGTTTATACCCACTCACCTAAAATTAAAAAAAAAAAAAAAACATATTGTTTTTCTCATTGTTTTTCTGATAAAAATTTTATCTCACATGGTGTCCCTAAAATTTCAACTTCTTTGTTTAAAATTCAATGCAGTTTTCTTCAAAAGTGTGGCTACCCAACATAAATAACCTCTACCCACATTCCATTTGAAGTGCTGAAAACTGAAAAGTATATGGACTTTGGTGCCTGGCAGAACTGGGTCCTCATTCCAGCAACGATCCTGATTCCCATACATTTTCTACTCTGTAAAATAAAGGAAATAAAATAAAGGCAATAACACAGGAATAATTGTGCTGTTTCTCTGAGCTGATATGCTACACAGAGATCACGGTGCAGGGCTTTTTTGTTATTGTTGTTGTTTTTGAGACAGAGTCTGGCTCTGTTGCCCAGGCTAGAGCGCAGTGGCACGATCTCTGCTCACTGCAACCTCCGCCTCCTGTGTTCAAGAGATTCTCGTGCCTCAGCCTCCCGAGTAGCTGGGACAACAGGCGCCCGCCATCACGCCTGGCTATTTTTGTATTTTTAATGGAGACAGGGTTTCACCATGTTGGCCAGGATTGGTCTCGATCTCCTGACCTTGTGATCCGCTCGCCTTGGCCTCCCAAATTGTTGGGATTACAGCCGTGAGCCACCGCGCCCGGCAATGGTTTTAAGATGCAGTCAAATTGTGTTATACCCCCTCAACCATAGTTATATGCTGTAATGAGAAAAGCATCCTAAAACTGTATACAAACATGTAATTTGCCATAACATTTATGCAAATTAAAAACTGAATATAAATATCTGAAGCCAAAAGACATTTGTAAACTTAAAAGGAACAAGAGTCAAAAAGGATGAGACAGAGAAGGAGTAGGAAAAGAAGAATTACTATAAAGAGATAAGGAAGAGAAGGGGGAGGCGGGGGGGAGGGCGGGGCGAGGAATGAACCAGTCTTTTTCCATAACTTGTAGTTATTGATGAAATATTAATTACTGTTTTGGGTTATTATTTCATCTTTGTTTATTGATTTGCTCTTTCAGTTATCATTGTCCATCCTAATTTCATTCATCCATGAAATGCTATTGTTATTTTAATGCTATAGTTATTAAAATGTATAGAATGTCTATTACGTTTCATGTACTGAGCTATTCACCGGTAATGTCTCATTCTAACATGAAACAAACTCAGTGAGTTAGGCTTAATTATTTTTATTCTACAGATGAAATGGCCGAGGCTGAAATTTACTGGCCTAATTAAAACCAGTGCCTTGAGAACACACACTTGTTTATTAATATGGATAGGGATCAGCCTTATGAACCATAATATTTCCTTTCAAAAATAGGCAATACATAGAAGGTAATTTCATGCCAACAACATAATTTGAAAACAAAAAGCAAAAGCACCATAAATGTTCATATATATGTTTAATGAACATTTTGGAGAAAGTGAATGTACTGATAGGTATGAGGGATGAGCAACTTTGGAAAGAGAGAATCCAAATTCCCTGGGTGTCCACATGCTAGCTGCAAGAAACCTCAGCCTATCTCTTCATATCTTCAACTTAAAATGTTCTTACATATAAATTAGAATTAATATCAAATCATAAATTTGTTAGGGAATAAAGTAAGATAATGTATATAGTGTATAATCAAATTGTCATTATAATTGTTTTGGTTATGACTTCTAAAATGATAACTATTATTTATAACTGTTATAATTAGGTAAAAATTTGAAAATGTTTATAATAACATTGTTAATTCAAAAAAGTGATTGTTATAGAACCATACTGTACATTTCCAACTAAAAAGAACTTTGCATAATGATAAAATGGTAAATAGAATGTTCTGTAAGTGGCACATTGCTAATGAATATTTTTTAAATAAATACTATTTGTTTAATAAAATATACACAAATATAACATCTTAAAAGAGATTATAAAATTATTTTGTCACCAATAGTTGATGACGCATGAACAAGATGTGGAAATTTATCAAAGTATTTATCCAAATAATGCTAAATGACCTGGATCCTGAAAACATACTCAACACGACATATTTTGAAAAAGAACCAGTATTTAGTATGAATCTGCTACGAATTTGGAGGACCAGTGCACAGAATTATCTCCTAGGACAGAGTACAAAATTGCTCCCCAAAATGCCAAGATTATTTGGTCCTTACTCAAAATGAATGTAAAACATTATTCTGAGCATTTTGATTGATTAAAATAGGAAAATGTGAACACTTTCATGTTTTTTCAATAAGAGAGATGCAGAAAGAAAATGGTATTTAACCTTGTGTCCTATCCTTTCTTTTTAGGATAGTAGACTAAATATTTGAGATTGGTGGAAGAGAGAGCCATTGTTTATGTATTTGTTATTGCATTTTATGTTCTACGGTACATGTGCACAACGTGCAGGTTTGTTACATATGCATACATGTGCCATGTTAGTGTGCTGCACCCATTAACTAGTCATTTACAATAGATATTTCTCCTAATGCTATCTCTCCCCACTCCCCCAACCCCATGACAGGCCCCAGTGTGTGATGTTCCCCTTTCTGTGTCCAAGCGTTCTCATTGTTCAATTCCTACCTATGAGTGAGAACAAGCGGTGTTTGGTTTTCTGTTCTTGCGATAGTTTGCTGAGAATGATGGTTTCCAGCTGCATCCATGTCCCTACAAAGGACATGAACTCATCCTTTTTTATGGCTGCATAGTATTCCATGGTGTATATGTGCCACATTTTCTTAATCCAGTCTGTCATTGATGGACATTTGGGTTGGTTCCAAGTCTTTGCTATTGTGAATAGTGCCGCAATAAACATACGTGTGCATGTGTCTTTATAGCAGCATGATTTATAATCCTTTACATTTGTTTCACCATGACAAAGTTTGTCTTGAGACTGGAAATTAGGGAGAAAACATTAATCGTGGATTTTGTAAAAGACTAAATGTCAGCACCAAGGAAAAAGGGAAATCAAAAGTAACACGAGTAAGTCTAAGTGTGTTTGCTACATTCAAAGGATGTTAATACCATGGATATTACTTTAGCAAGATTCTGATTTTAATTACGGAAGAGTGGATAGTTGTGAAGATTCTACTTTTATTTTGAATATAGGTTTCAACAGATGATCAAAAAGAAGATAGATATTTCTTGATCAGTCACACATATATTCACTTTTGCATTTTTGACACAAAAATATACTGCTGACCCTTCCCATAATATATACCCAAAAGTAATGAAGTATCTGTGAAAAATATACCATAAATATTTAATTCAGTAGGCCCTGATGCAACCCATATAAGGAGAGAAAATCCAGGAAAATGCCCTATAACAAATTCTAGAATGATGTATTGATTGCATTATAGCCTTATAAACCTTCTCTTCCTACCAAACATCTGAGATTTAGTTCTTATTCTTAGTAAAGCCAGTTATTTGTGTGTGTGTGTATATATATATTATATACATAATATATATATGCGCACATAGAGACACAAAGATAGAGACAGATTTTTGTTTGTTTATGTAAAAGTGATTTAAAATTTTCAAATGGCAGCAACTCAAATGCTCATAGGATTTACTCTGTTAGAAATCAAATAAATTCATAAGTTTTCCTTGTGCCACAGAGATGTAATAGACATCAGATCATATCATGTTAGAATGACCACATCATTCAAGAGGCAAGTGCATGACTGAGGGTCACACAAACAACCTTGCTAGAAATTATATAAGGAGAGTGCCATGGAGGCCAGGCCTAGATCTTTTCAAATTAAATTAAATATCTGCTTCATATGGGCAAAAATGTTAATCCATTTGTATGTTTCTTCCTAAAAATGAAAGTAGTACATCCCTTTGCTTTTTGTGTCATTAAAACATAAAAATAATTTAAGATAATGTTTTGTCACTTTTGAAATCAAAAGCCTTTTAAAAGTGTTTTGTATTATACTTATCAAACAATTTTAAAAATGCATATGTTTTCAATAATACATTTTAATCTCATGCTGTCTTGAAAACTACCACATCCCACAATGAATTTGGACTTTATTTTAAATAAAATAATTGTTTTATTGCAGCTTGTCAGGACGTACAAGGACCGACATTTAGCAGCGCGAGGTTTAAAGTCCCTTTGTAACTGTATTAAGTTCTAGGGCTTAGACATTCTAGGGTATTTATGTATGTCTCTCTCATTAAAGGCCATTAAATGTGGCACATTTCTTCCGTAAGATTACAATCTACTTGGAGATGAAAAAGTACACATGTAACACAAAATAAGAAGCATTACAGTTTTGCACATCAAAAATGGCAAAACTGTAAACTCACAGAATGTCTAAATATTGAAGTTATGGTATTTATTCCCATTTTATTGGTTTGGGGTCAGAAAATGTGTTCAATTTCAAATACGTTCAAAATAGAAAACCATGTGACTTTTATTAGCAATTTCATTTGATTCATTTGATTATCAGCTTAAGAAACAACAGCCTAAATGGTGATTCCTCATTTCACCTATCTTAGTGGTTCTGCTTTGGACATTTTGATAAAAAATCAACTGTTTTTTATGTTGCTTTCAAAAAATAAATTGGTAGATATAATGAAAACAAAAATAATAATACCTGAGCATTTCTCCATTTTATTCTCAGCTAGGATGTGGAGCACATGTAACGGCAGCCTCGTCAATATCAGCTTCACGGATGCCATGTTGAGGTGGCTGCATCTGTCATTCTCTGTCATGTCACTTTGCATGGTGCCTTATAATGGATGCTGACATTAGGTAGCAGACTGCCCTCATACCTATGAAAGCAAATTTCAGATGAAAGCAGGTGGCTGCTTCTTTGCTGCAGTAACTACCGTGGCAAATAAAATATTTAAATCTAATTGTGGAAAAGGATATTATATTGCTAAAATTGAACTGCATCTAGTAATGCCTGATATAAAAGATAAATGTTATTTGTTCTAACACATGCTTTCTCTTGAATCATGTGACAAAGTAGTAATCAGGCTAACTAAATTTGTTCTTTTTTTATATGGCACAAGGTATCAAAATAGAAAAGACATGACAACCACCCTCCATTGCTACCATCATTATTTAAAGATTGTTTTTCACAGGTATGGTAACACTGGTGCTTTTACATTTCTGTTCAGTGACACTGAAACTAAAATGATTTAACAGCCTATTCCTGTCACTTTGATGAAAGTGACAGTAGGTTTTTCTTTTTTGCCATTGATCAATCTGGATTCTTAAATTGTGGCAAAGAGTAGCCAATGCAGATGTTAGCAAAAGTTTTCAAATAAAATAACTACTTCAACAGAATACAGATTGAACAATTGCAGCTAAATAAGGCCAAATGTAGCTAAACTATTCCTACACTACGTTAAATTTCAGGCTAGGTCAGTGAATAC